TGTTCTGTGTGTGCACTGTTCTGTGTGTGCACTGTTCTGTGTGTGCACTGTTCTGTGTGTGCACTGTTCTGTGTGTGCACTGTTCTGTGTGTGTGACTAGCACTGCGGTGTGCGTGCAGAGGCGGTGGTGCATTGGATGAGACGTTTGAGGCGAACATTATAAAGTCAGGTAATGCGGAACAGCAGGGTGTGCCGCACCATTTGATGATTGGCTTGTACCGTTTGGAGTTTCAGCAGGTGGTTGATTTGTACGTGGGTGTGGAGTTTATTGGCACGAGTTTGAAATCTTCGATCCACCGGCACGGGAGCAGTGTAACGTTCAATGAGGGGTTCCGGATTCCGGTGACTACACCGGTGACGGAGGACGCGATTACAGTAAGTGTGTGGGATAATCAGTCGAGTCCGGCGAAGTTGTTGGCTCGGGGGTCTTTGTCGTTTTTGGCCATCAGCACGAAGCCTTTGCACGCGCGGTGGTTCAACCTCTACGGGTTTCCGCCAGGTGAGAGCGCCACCTTTACGAGTGAGGACTGGCGGTTACTAGGCGAGAATAAGATGGAGGGTTCGGCATACTTGGGACGCATCTTGCTGGGCGCCTCAGTCCAAAAGCTAAAAGACATAAGCCAGTTGTTACCGGCCGAGCTGACGTATGCGCGTACGCAACCCGAGACCACACCCACATTCGTAACGTACTTGGCGGAAATTTACCAAGTCGATCTGGACAAAGTAAAGTGTGAACAGAGTCGCCGGGCGCCACCCAGACTTAACTCAGATACTGAAGTCCAAGTGGTCGTGAGCACCGCTGGCTACCGTTCCAAGACGAAACCGTTGCCAGCGACCAATTCCCCTGGCGCCGGTGGCGAGGAGGGACACATGCGTTACACCTTTGGTGCAGACAACGGCTCCATCCCGAATCTGACTGCCCAGCTGTCGGGTGATGAGAAGTTTTATCCAGACGTGTTTGTGGAAGTGTTTGCCAACAAGGGGGTGCGTCTTGGCTACCGCCGCTTCCAGGCCAAAGACGTGCCAACAGCCTCCAGCGAGTTGCAGGCCTCTCCGCCCATGTGGGTTCCCCTTAACAACCCCTTCGCTTTCTATCAAAGCACCATACCCGGCTACGTGCTCCTCTCGATCGAAAAGGTCCAGGCCGAGAATGTCAACCGTCGTCGTCGGCGCAAAATCGTGGCCGCTCCGCACCTGATCCGATGTTACCTCTACGCTGCGCGATACTTAGCGTTTGTGAGAGAGGAACCCGACATGAGCCGGCGTAGTACTCTTGCCGTCGAGCCGGGCGACTTGGAGGCGCTCTCTACACTGGCAGATGAAGAGACTAAGAACACGAAGACCCGTGGCCATGGCAAGAATGACTGCCTGCCGAATCCGTATGTTGAAATCTCCTGTGCAGGCACCAACGAAGTGTCCCCCGTGGCCATGCGTACCCGCTTCCCAGTGTGGCTCCACACACTTGAGCTTAACTGCCGACTCATGATCGACGCCAACGACGGCGTACCGGTGCCCTGCTCGGTCATGGTCGAAGTCAAACACGGTGCGCACTCAATCGGACTCTGTCTTGCCGATTATTCACGACTCCTCGGCCGCAAACAAATCCATGGCGGCGCCGTCGAGCGACTAGAACCCTCTTGGCTGACCCTAAATTCTCCAGACTCCATGAACAAACAAGTGGCCAACGTCTCCTTCCGGGGCGCAGTAGAGGCGCGATTGGGCAGCATGCTCGGCGTTGTTCCGGGAGGATCTGGACGCGACGAAACCGGACAGGCGGGCCACATCCTGCTTGGGATTGAAGTCCTGCGGAAGAACGACGCCTCATACATCGCGCCACAGCCCGTCGTTCCACGTCTCCGGACCGTACGTTGTCGCCTTAGCGTTTGGGGCCTCCGCGACCTGCTGCCCAGAACTAAGCGCGACTATAACGAGGCCGCCCTCACGACAGCCACCATAGACCAAGTGCTCGACCGGGACGAAGTAAACAGACCCTATATCGTGGTCGTGCCGCCGTCCTACAAAAAGATGAGTGATCCCGCATACCCCCTGCTGCCTTGGCGCCCGATGATCGACGATAAACGCAATGACCGTGGCCACAGCTACCTCGCCAACGCCACCTGGAAAGAAGTCGAGCACTACTCCGCCTTCAACTTCCACGAATGCCTCCACTTCAACCTGCAAATTCCCGACAATCCGCTCTTCGACCCCCATCTCTGCGTACGCGTCTATGACGAAAGCCGCGCCTTCCTCGGAGAATCGTCCATCCCAATCTTCCCCCTCATCCCCTGGCTCGCAAAGGACACCAGCCGGTACGACGCCGCCGTCGCGCGACTCGTGCCCAAAACCACGCTACAACAAAACCCCAATCTATCACTGCTCAAGGAAGCGTACTATATTGCCCTTGCCCTCATGCGCAAGGACGCCGCACTGGACAAAGAAACCAAAGTCAAGCAAGCAGTAGTTGACAAGATGCAAAACGCCGAACTCCAGGAGCTGTACTCAGGCTCCACCATGGCCTCTGAGGCAGATTCGCAGCAGAGCGTTCTCTGTCCAGTCCACAGCCTGCGACTGGCCCAGGGCGGCGAAAATCAGGAATGTACCTGCGATATTGCAAACAGCGCACACGTGTGCGGAGAAGATGGAATCGCGCTAATTACGAAGCAGGGCGACTATATGCTCAGCGCCGCAGGCTTTAACGTCCGGCCGTTCGGCGGCGTGCTTAAGGCATGCGGGATAACCATTCCCAAGGGCTCAATGATATATGAAGAAGGCAAACACTCGTATCATGGCACCGACCGGTTAATTATCGACGGTGCGCTGGAAACAACGCTTCCGGACGTGTACTGGAGGCCCATAGTGCTATGGCGCCCGAGCAGAATAAATCCTTTCCACGAAGTCAAGGGCGGCGCAATCAAGATCGAGACATGCATTGAGGCGACGATGAATAACGAGCCGCTCGATGACGAGAACGCCCAAATCGTGGCCCGGACGGAGGTGCCGAGTAATCTCCGAAGCGAGGTGTTCAGCACCTCGCGTTTTAGAACCAAGTATCGCGCGGGAGGCGGCGTGCCTGACATATTGCGCCTTCGGGTGTACGTGATTCGGATCGCCGCAATATCCTTGTCCATGACCGTAACCAAAGACGCAATATATCCGAGTCCGCATAATGCGCAGTACCCGGTGGAGTTGATTATTCAGGTTAGTGACTCCCGACAAGAGCGGTACACGAGTAAGACGGAGGGGCCGCATCCTAAGTTTATGGTGTTTCACGAGATGGACGTCAAGGTGCCGGAGGAGACAGTGCTGACGCTCTCTGCATGGTCTCTGGCTCCTTCCGGCCCCGTGTTTGTGGGCCAACTGTCCGTGGATGTGCTGGAGCGGTATTTTTCGGAGCAGTACATGGAGATGTTGGAGACGTCGAGAATACCGATTGAGGTGCGCCCTCTCAAATTAATTGACGGGAAGAATGTGATCACCACGGGCAGCATCGAGATGCTTTTGGAGACGTTTAAGCCGAGCCTCTCCTATCCGCGCATGCCTCTGATCGAAGACCGCCCGGCTGAGGTGGAGCTGCGAGTCGTGATCTGGGGCTGTCGAGCGCTGGAACTGCCTCTGGACAAGGAGAGCGTCGACGTACTCGTCCGGGGCTCGTTCGAGTGGTCGGCTACGGACAAGTCGTCGGGAGGCAAAGAACCTGCGGCAGCGAAACGCACGGTCCAGGAGACGGATGTGCACTATGGCAGTACGAACGGGAACACGGTGTACAACTGGCGCATGGTGTGGTCGAACGTGGTGGTACCGTGTAACACGGGTATCTTGACGATCCAGGCGATTCAGTTTGACCCATTTGGACCGGAAACATACATTGGCGAGATCAACATCGAAATGAAGTCGTACTTGCGCTCGGTCGCAGTCAACCAAGAAAAATTGTCCTACGACGTAGAACTCAAATTGCTCAACCGTGATGCCGAGTGCGTCGGCTTCGTACAAACCACCATCCAGATCCTGATGCAGACCGAAGGCAGCGCGCGCCCCGTCGGCTTGGGACAACAAAACCCGAATACAGACCCCCCGTTGTCCGCCCCCATCGCAGGCCGCAAGTGGGCGGACTTCCTCGGGGCGACCAAGAGCACGGTCTCCTTCGACAACGTCATGCTGCGGATACGCTGGATCACTGTCGTCCTCTTGCTCGCCCTCGTCTTCTTCATCGGCTGCATCAAGCCCGGCATCTTCTGGGGCCTCTGAATACGAGGCGGAAAATGGCGCGAAAAATAGGCGCGCTACAGAAACGTCGGACGAGCCCTATGGAAGTAGCAAGCGAGACAGCTGACGAGTGGAATGGCGATGTTGTCCAGTCCCTTCGTGCTCAAGGCCTCAACCATGGTCAAGACCATCGATATATAAGCAGCTAAATACCAGTCGGTAAATTCCCATAGATAGTAGATCGCGATGGTCGCGACGGCGAAGAATGTGAGGCTGCCTGCAAGCTAGACACAAGTTTGCGGGGCAAGGCGGCAGAGTGTGAGGGTAGTGTCACTTACTGATTTGGAGCTGGATTGCCTGAGTGGAGGGATGTAGTTTTGCGGGTTTCCGGTGTACGGTGAGCTCTGTGTTTTGGACGACTTGGTGGCGTCTGGATGTCGGAAGGTTTCCTCGGGCTGGCGATTGTAGTGGGTTTGGTAGAAGCGACCGGCTATAGCGGCAGCGGGGTCGGCGAAGAGCATGGGGGCGAGCACGGTCAGTGGGAGTTGGAGGAGGAGGCAGAGCACGAGGGAGGTTGCAAAGAGACAGACGCCAATGTCAGGGTGCGTCCACCAGCCAGTCTGGATCATCGGGCCCGCACCGCGACCATAAAGCGGAGGGGCCGTTTGGCTCCGATCGTCCAGGACCTTTTCTCCACTGCTCTCGTTGACGATGACGAGCACACATGTCACCGCCACCAACGCGACCACCCAGATCGGAGTCGGCTGCTGGGGCAGCAACAAAGCAACTGCACCGCTGGTCGCGTGCTTAACCTTCCTACAACAGAGTTAGTAGCGGAAAGACAGCCAGCCAGCTCACGGGCTGGATAGCTCAGAAGAAGGGGGCATTGACCCGGGTGCCTTACCTTGCTAAGAAGGGAGGGAGATATTGTTCCGCTAGCTGCATGATGATACCCATTACAAGAACCAGTATCATGACCGACCACCCTTGCATGTTAGATTATTAAAAAATTCCCTCTAAACACGACTCTCAAGTCCGGTTTGGAACACCCGACTGAGTAACCTTGGGCCGGAATACTTTGCGTCTGTGTCCTTTGCGACACCGTTCGCGACGTGGTCGATCAAACCTTGTTGGATGTCAGTTAGATCTTAGATCTTTCTATAAGAACGTGAGTAGCAAAGTAGGCATCTTACTCGTCGAGTTTGTCGTATGAGGCGTCGATAGCCCCGAGGAGGAGTTTGGCGATCCAAACTTCGGGTTGGAGGTCGACACCTTTCCTGCTCATTTCGGCCTGTTCGAGTTCATAGGAGCTGGTGCAATCTACCATACTACCGAAGCCGGTATGTACGTCGATTTCGTGGAGGAATTTCTGCGCCTGCTGGTCGCTGCCTATTTGGGCGAAGGAGACGGCGACTCCAACTCCACCTGAGGTCTGGTGGACTTGGTTGAGGACCTGCATGATTTTGTCGTAGGGCTCTCCAGCGGGTGATCCATCAGTTAAGATGATGACAAGGAGGGGCTTGGTAAAGGAATTGGATTTGAGGGCGCTGTAGACGAAGGGCTGCAGCACCTTCTGGTCCAGTGAGGTGCCCATGGGCGTGAGGCCTTGGAAGCGCACGGAGCTGATAAGTTGCTGCACCTGGGAGGGCTCTGCAATGCCGTTGCCTTCTTGCGTGCTGTTTAGGAATCGCACACAAATTCCATCGCTATCGAACAACGCTGTCGCCTCCGCCACGTAAGACACCGTCATCTTTAAGTCCTCAATCCGTTCCCCCTGTTCCTCGAAGGCCATCGAACCAGAGTCGTCACACAACATGATCACGTCATACAACGCCAACTGGTACAAGTCATTCTGAATCTCGCCACTCAACTTCCACTTCTGTGCCAACTGCTGTACCCGACCACTCTTCTGCTCCAACTGCTGCGCCAACATACTTAGACTCTGGCTGTTGTAGAACCTCTCAAGCCGATTTTCAGTCACACACTTCTGTAGGATGCCCAAGATCCCGCCGCCCCGAGCCATTCCTCCCACCGGGGGAGACCCCATCGGAGGAGAGGCAGTAAACGAAGGAGCTCCGCCATACCCCTGCTGAGCCTGCTGGTATTCATACGCCGGACCGTTCATGCCGCCCATGCCTCCGTACGATGACTGCTGACCCATGGGTTGCTGACCCATGGGTTGCTGACCCATGGGCTGCTGACCCATGGGTTGCTGACCCATTGATGGTTGTCCTCCGTACGACGGCTGCTGACCCATGGGTTGCCCTCCGTAAGTCGGCTGCTGGCCTCCTTGGGGATACCCCATAGTTACATTCCCTGATCAATCACCGTTGTCATCCGACTCATCGTGCTTACCTGCCATTGGCCCACTGCTGCCCCCAGCTGCGGCACCGTTAGCTCTTAGTTTGCTCGCTAATCCCATAACTCGGTAACAATTTTATTTGCGTCAACACCAAAAACAAGCTTGCTGTCGCACACCGTTGTTGATCGGCACTGGTGGAGTTTTGGATCCATTAATCTGGGCGGGTTCAGGGGGGGGGGGGGGGCTGACCTTTGCGGAGAGCACTTGAGTGAGCTATGGTTGGCAGCCGGACTAGCAGGGGATATGTGACTTGACGACGGTCATGATGAGTTCGAGATTACGACGCGCCGCTGGTTTAGGGTTGGTTGAAGTACTATGAGACGGCCCACGGTTGTCACGGGTACGTCGGAATAGTAAGTGTCCGGTGTGCATGTGAGGGATGGATGGCCCGAGTGGAACGGCTTGATAGCTGTGAGTAGTTTCGTATGACGGTGGACGTGTTTCTTGTTAGAAGTGTCGGTGGACGTATGTCAAGAGATACCCACTGGCAGAGAGATACCCGTACCGTAGTGAGTGCTGAATGCTTGACGGTGTGATGGAGGCGGCTGGGGTCCCAGCAAGATATGAAGGCGGATGTTAAACCGAGTCTTCGTGACGGCGGGGATACAGTTGAACGGCAAGAATAGTGTGCGGAATAGTGGAGTAAATGCCGCGAAGAAGAGGAGGTGATGCCATCCGTGAATGCTTCGGTGTCGTTGTAGGACGGGGCTGACTCGTTGAGGCGCTAGGAGAAGTGAGGCGTTAGGAGAGGTGTGGTATCGGACTGAGGGGACGGACTGAGGGGAATTCGACTAAGAGAACGGCGATATTGTAAACGCGCGTGGGAGACTAAGTGGGCTAAGAGACGGTGCTGGCAAAATAAGCCGGTTGTTGTTCAGCATTGTGGTCGCCCCCAGTCGGCGTCGAAGGGGAAGGAAGATTACAGCGGAAGAGGGTGTCAACGGGCGTATTTTTTTTCCCTGCAAGTTTGACCCCTATGGCGAGAGGAGTGAAAAGCCGTCGCGGAAAGTCCCGGCTACTAATGCATGAGTTGTTGAGTTTAGTTGTGATTGGTGTTTCGGATCCGGTGGTAACGATAGCGGCAGATGAAAAACATATTGCTGAGTTATTTAGTTACAGCGCAGATAGTCAGCTTGAGTTATGCCTGAAGGAGGACGGTGTGTCTGAGTTGTCAACAGGTGAAGGTGAAGGACCAAATATATCGGAGGAGGTGATACTGCTGATGCTCCACCTGGATTTGGAGGGGACTGTTGGCTTGGTCGGTTTTGAGTTCAGAAACCAACAAGGCAACCTGGCGGAGACAGTTCAAAAGGTTCAAAATCCCGAGTCGGGATCGGGTCCAAAATACTCGTACAGGTTTCACTTCACACAAGGAAAAACCGCACATGAACAAAAGCCAGAACAGACTGGGGGGATGGAATGGTTGGATATGCTTCTGGGAACGAAAGAAGATGACAATGAGGATCTGACAACCATGCACATGAACCCTAGCGTAGGGTTGGCAAAAGAGTGGTTGGAGGAAGAGTGGCTGGAGGAAGAGTGGTTGTCACTATGAAGCAACGAAACAGACTGTTCAGGCTCGGCCACTGGGTATGTAGATGACAATGAGTTTAGAAGTTGGTCATCCGGCTCGGCTTATTTTTTTTTTATAAGCAAGGATGACTAGAGGAATCAAGGGCGAGGGTCGAAGGACTGTGTATGGGTTACTTAGCACTGTGGTCATTAACGTGTCAAGTTCATCGGCCTCAATAATAGCCAACGACGACCAGATTAATTCTGTGTTCTGTTATGGCATAGATAGCAACGTTCTAGTGCGCGTAAATACAGACGGTTCGTCGGAGCTATTGGGGGGTGAACGAAACGGATGTCCGCAACTCTTGGAAGGGGTCGTGCAATTGATGCTCGCTTTGGACTTCAAGGAAGCGCTGGAGGTAAGAGATCTCGGTATCATGAACACTAATAGCGAAGTGGTCGAACGAATTCAGAAGGTCGATAACGAAAATATGTCCACTTACAAATTCCACTTCGGGAAGCGATCAAGTCCCGCTAAAAGCTCCCAGAGAAAGCACTGGCTGGTTCGAGCATGGGACAACCTTCCGGCATGCGCCACCATCCAGCCGGACAGCGATGATTGTGGGAGGCTTCTTGCAGACGACGACTAGGGTGCCATCCAACGAGAAAGACCCTATACAATTTCATCTCACCAGGGAAGAACTTTTATGCATAGAAAAACATAGCTTTATTTCCGACCTATTTTTTCACAACTCCCAACACACATATAGTCAACTTCTTTGTCACAGTCAGCTTCTTTGTCATGAACTTGTCTTTCCCTCCCCGGATGACGGGTAGTTAGAGTGTGTGGATGGGTCTCCACTGTTGACCTCCATGTTAGTTCCATTGGTCATGCGCTATCCAGGCGTGATGTACCCGCCGTTCGAGTATGTGTGCACACACTTTTCGGTTTTTGAGGATGATTCTGACGTCTGCTCGGATACAGCTTTGTATTAGTCGCATTTGGCTCATCACCCTTAGCTTCAGCTTGTCGGTATACTGATGACGGCATTAGGCTGATAGCAGCTCCTCCGTCCGGTACGACAGTCTTTTGGATGCTCGCCTTTATTGCATCCCAGCAGCCTTCTTGTAGTGAATACACTCCTCGTTCGGTGGCCAAACTCTCCACTCGCGAAACAAGCGAGGAAGCTGTCGACATTTGCGCGTGTTTGTATGAGCGCAATCGCGAGCTATCTCGGTTTTGTCTTCACTCGTAAATACCACAGCTCTGACGGTCGGCCAGCTGTGACTGAGAATGCTCTCTTCAAGAGAAAAGAATTATTCTTCTGGTCTCTTTCTGGTCTCTCCTGGGCATCAGATATTTTTTCCTTAGGCATCGATCGCGCGTGTCCAAATCCGAAAGTATGGATGTGCGCAAGTCTTGAAAAATATCGTGCAATTGATGCTTGCCTTAGACTTCCACGAGAAGGTGGACATAACAATATTGTTAGTGCTCGCGGCAAAACGGTTGAACGAATTCAGAAGGTCGAGGACGGGGATGACCGTCACTTGCCTCTTCTCGCTGTCAAACTTTTTCCGTCCCCTCGGACACTCATTATACGTAACGGTGGAATGTTAGGTGATATATCTGTCTTCTCCCAAAAACCCAACCGGACCGGTAGCATTATGTCTATCTGCCCGTTTTCGTCTCAGCACATGAGATGGAATTGGGGTCCGACCGGCCCTGCCGTTAGCTTTTTATGGGTTGAGGGACTTTTTACAAACTCGTATCTATTCAGCCCGCAAACCCGAATTCAACTCAGCTGGCGGTATCGGCAGGGATTTGTCGGGTTGTCTGAAGTTACGGAGCAGTGTTACCCGAAGCTGGCCTCACGGAGGAGAGCCGCGAGCGGCGGTACACCGTGGGAGGCAACGAAGCGAGTCGGGCCGAAGAGAGGCCCATGCGAGTCGGCGGATGTTGGGAGGGCGAGGAGCCCCCACGTGCCGGTGAGAGGATAGCGGTTGAACTCCTCCCAGGCAAGCGGGATGGCGTGAAAGCCCCCCCGGGGAGGGATGCTGAATGCTTCCCTGGGAGATGAGCCGGTGTTAGGCCAGGCTGCGGCGGAGTGAGTGGAGTCAAGTGTACTGCTTGCTGCCGCGCACCGAGTTCCTGAGGGACTGACCGGCCCCGATAGTATTGTGAGTGTCCGGCGTGAACTTGTGCCGCGTGCCAGTAAGGAGCCCGACCGATGACGAAGAGTGCCGAAGACTTTCGGAGGCGCAGATGACGACGAAGTTAAATGCGGAGTACGCGGGGAGTAGCTGTCGAGGCTGTCGGACCGCGATGTCTGCCGGTGACGTAGCCACGAAGAGAGTGGGCCAAGAGACGGTACGACAGAGTAAGTCGGTAGCTGGTTGTAAGGGTCGTAATGACTGGGCATAGAAGCAGGAGGGACATGGCCGTAGGCGTGGGCGGGATGCCATGCGAGCTTTGAGTACGTGAAGGAAGTAAGCCCCAGCCCCAGCCGC